GGGCAGATGATTCAGCTTTTCTCCTGGGACCCATGCGGCCGGAGAGCGTTGGACCCGCGTTGCAGAGAGTCGCGGAGGTTGCGTGCAGTGGCGGCCCGACGTGCTCTCCTTCATGCCGACGAACCTATTGTCCTTTTTGGGCCCCAGGGCGAGCAGGAGAAGCTCCGCCTTACGCCCCAATATGTGCACCTCGGCAATATTGTTACGGCGTCAGGACGTGAGGGTCCGAATATTGGTTATCGAGATGGACTTGCTCGGGAGCTCTACAAGCCGCTCCGGCGCAAAGTCCTTTTCTCTCCATACTACACTGCACAGGAGAAGACCTCACTGGTGGCCTCCCGGGTCATCCCGCGTTTTCTGCATGGGGCTGGAGTGTGGCAGCCATCCTCCACTGCAGAGGCGCAGTCCTGCCTCGAGCCTGTCCGAAAATATCTGCGTGGCGCTTTCCGGCCGGTTACTGGGATCAGCTGCGCTGGATTCAGCAATAGTGAAATTGCAGCCGCTTTGGACTCTCCTACGGCCGAGGAGTACCTCCATGTGGCGCGTGCTCGGGCTCTCCTCGATGTTTGTCACTGAGGTACTCGATTTTGCTATGGGGCGTTATTAGATATTAGAGGGACTTATAGACAGTTAGAAGAACTTAACAGAAGTTAACTGAAGATAGTTTTTAGAGACTTATAAGCAGTTAGTAACTCCTAATAGCTGTTAACTTAAGTTCCCCTAAGTACCCCTAAGTTCTGGTATGTTTTTTGGGTTTGTTTGAATACAACATCTTGAAACTTCTTTTGTTGCTTGATCTTCTGTTTGTTACACTGTTGCTGCTGCTTTGCTTCAACTTCGAAGCGCCTCGCGACGCTACATTGGTTCATAGTTCTGCGGCAGCGTCTCTCGACGCTATTGGTTAGTGTATGTTTCGGTGCTTACCTTTTTCACCAGAGCGTGAGCAAGGAATTGTTGTGCGTCCGCCAGGCTTTGGGACGGTGCCAGCTTCTGTCCGTGAGCGACCACGTATGCACGGTGTTAGTGTTTGACCACCCCACGATTCCCACTGCAAGCTCTGCAGATTTCCGGAAGACCTGCACTTCGACTGCTGCACTTGCCCTTTCACTCACCATAGAAACGATGAGACCTGCGCAGTCTGCACGAACGATCGGCTCGGCTATTCGCAAAGTTAGCCAGGCGCAGGTCAGGGTGGTCTGTGTCTTGTTCAAAGTGAACTCCCAATAATCAGGGCGCAAGAGGTGTGCCTCATGTAGATGGAGTTGAGCAAGGCGAACGAGCACGAAAGTCTCAAAATCTTGCAAGCGCGAGGCGCTCATCTCAACGATCTTCTTAATCGCCTTGTGCTTCGGCTCGTTGCAAAGTGTGTCCAGCACATAGCCATCGCGGCGGTGCTGACCTGCAGGGCGAGATTTGGGGTTTATGGTTCAGGGTTTAGGATGGTTTAAGGCATGTTTCTCCACAAAAGAATCTTCAACAAAACCATGGCCTGGCAAGTGGCTGCCATAGTGATGCTTGGGCTTGCATTTATCAGCGGAGTAGCAAGCTAGGAACTGTCGATGGTGTTCTTCCTGCTTGCGAGTCAAGTCGTTCGCCCAGTCGTCGCTCCCACTGTACCGTGGCATCTGCAAGCAAAATAAGCGCTCACGCCGACTTGCGCTTCAGGGAGTTCTCGGGCAGCTGCTGCTTGCACTTGCTGCACGGCAGCAGCTCCGCCATGCTCACAGCAAGGCGAGAGAAAGCGACGAGGCTGCAAACTCTGAGCTGGAAGAAGCAGCGCAACAGAAGACATGCAAGGTATGCGAAACCAAAAATATAGCGTTTGCCGACCGAAAACGGGTGGCGGCCAATTGGAGGCCACGCCTTTCCTGGATATGTGCCAGCACGTATCCAGCACTGTGGCGGCCAACGGGCGGCCACTTGGCGGCCACTTGGCGGCCACTATATGTTTGCTTTTAAGTCTGATCCGTACCTGACGGCAAATCAGCGACGGTTTTGGAGGCCACGTGGCGGCCACGTTTGGGGGCCCGTGGCGGCCAAATGGCGGCCAATGGCGGCCACTCTTTTCGGTGACCACATAAGTTGTTGGAAACGATCCTGGTCCAGGCGTGTTTACGAGCTTGTTGTGGCTCCCGTCTGCGGCGACCTGCGTCGCCCCTGAGGCATGCGAAGAAAGCGCCGCTAGACGCTACAGGGACAGACAGAGATGCAGGCATGGACTGTGCTCCCTGTCTCTTCGGTCTCTCTCAGTACATACACGCGGGAGGCAAATCCAAGGCCCTCACCCTATATAACTTACTGCATGCACATGACAGCGACGCGCAACACCTCTTGTTTTGCGAGTGCCGTGCGGCTAGGCCACCCTTCATCCATGCAGTAGCCGCAGGTAGTCCCGCAGCAAAGCGACTTGCAGAAGTCTTGCCTGTACAACACTGAGTGCTTCCTCTTATAAGCACAAGAAAGCCACGCTGGACCCAGCAGCTGGGTATTTTTAACTTGTATGCTAAAGCCCAGTAGGATTTGACTGAACATTCTACTTAAAAAAATGTGTCTATAGAGTTTAGGGTTCACATACATGTGAATTCTAAACGAGTTCAAAGTAAACCCTATGCGGCCTCTCTCCCCAGGAGCCTTCCTGAGCTGCGTCGCTGAAAATGGAAACGCAAATTCAATCACAATCGTGACAGAAGCAGCTTTCGCCGCTAGTTCCTGCAGACACTGCCGAGCGATTCGCACCGCTCTTGCCTACAACGTGTCCTTGTCGGCCGAAGCGATTCGCACCGCTCTTGCCTAAAACAAACTTCAAGCGATTCTCACCGCTCTTGCATGCATGGCGATTGGCTTTGATAACTTATTCCATGTTGATCAAAATTCTCGGTGGCTCTGCTTCTGCTAGCGTTGACTAGAGGTAACTCATACTTACCACCCGTCCCGCCCCCACTCCCTCTCGAAAGAAATGAACAGTCAAATTCATGCCCGGCATGCCCTCCAAAAAAGCACATCTTCACTGAAGCAGGCCGCTGTGTAAATGCAGCGAAGCAACCTATATGAATTGTCATTGTTTGTTTCGCACACAAAGCTCTTCCACTTGTCCCCCATTTCCGTGAGCCTCTGTGTGCGTCACAACTCCACCATTAGAATACTTAGGAGCTCGCATGCGATGAAATTTGACTGAAACCGAGGAAATTGCACAGCCACTTGAACAAAAACTAACTTCCATTAACTCAAATTAGCTGAAAAGCCTAAGTGCTCTTAACTTCTGTTAATTCCTGTTGGAATTTGTAACATAAACGATTCCAAACCCTAGCAAAACTTATAAGACATGTTAGCTCATATCCCGAGATATATCTTAGCTAACTTGTTAAGAAACTTATACCTTCCACTAACTTCTAGTAGAAGTTGCTTTACTTCAAAATGAGTAGGCTAACTTCCTATAACTTCCTCTATCTTCTAATAAGGCCCCATAGCAAAATCGAGTACCTCAGCAACCGGCGGGAGCTCCGGCCTGGGGGGCTCTTGATGAAGCCCCGGCGTGGAAGGAACTGGCCTGGGAGTCTTTGTGCCTCGTCGCTGAGAAGCTTCGCCTGCCTTCCCTACAGACGGAGTGCCCATCCATGATGGCCATGTCTTCCGCCGTCGTCAAGGCCACCCCGCACCTCCGACGGGCGTGTAAGGCTTACCTGCGGGCCTGCCGGAGCAGCCGCTCCCCGCCCGATCTGGTCCCGCGGGACTTGCCAGAGCCGGCTCTGGAATGCACGGCTGCATCGCATCCCCGGCTCCCTTTCTCCTGCTCCTTTTGTTCAGCCGCCTTTCGCTCCAACAAAGCATGTAAGGTACATGAGTCTAAGCGGCATGGCAGTCGCCCTTTGCACATGACTACCTGCTTTGGCACTCGGTGTGAAACCTGTGCCACGGAGCACTGGCATCCGTCTCGCCTTGCGGCGCATCTTGCACGTAGCCCTGTATGCTTAGCTGCATATGCACATGCTGAGATTGCGGAGGCTGGAGACGCGCCACCTAGCGTCCCCCCGGCAGCCTGGCGCCCTCCAATGAGAGTGGCGGGGCCGGTGCCGTGGTGGGCAACGCTACGGCCTTCTCTTGTCTAGAGCCTTTAGCGCTCTCTTTGGATCGCTGTGGCTCTGCCACGGCTGATGAAGGAGCTTTGCTCCTTGAGCCGCTTTTGCACGGCATGTACAGTCGAATTTGGCGCGTACCGATCAGGTTCATGCAAGTCCGCCAAAAAACGGATCAGGGGATACTAAAGCCAAAGACATGAGCTCTATGGCCCTGGACTTGCCCTAAGACCTAAGGAATAGTGCATATGTATATGTCTGTGTACACAAATATATACATGTATGTGTATGTCTGTATATACACATGTACGTACACACACACACACACACATGGGTGGTAGTCAAAATTATGGTCCCTTTTTGGGTACCCTAAAGATTAGGTGCCGTATTATAATAAGAACCCAAAAAGGAACCCTACTTTTGACAACCACACGCATAGTAGCCCAACCCTAAACTCTGAACATTGAACCCTGAAGAATCTTTAGATCTTTGACTTCCAGCCCTGGGATGCGACCACTACAACCAGGACCCCCCCAAGGGCCCTTTAATAGAGCCCTTATGACCCTGTAAAACCCATATAAATAAGTATATATGTATATATCTATATATATCTATATATATATATGTATATATATATATATATATAAACCTGAACCCCAAGTCCACTGTACCACCCCCAACCCAAAAACCCTTAACCCCAAAACTCTACATAACACCGAAGCCCCAAATCCGAGATACTTCTGCCAGGGGTCCCTCTCATCAAGCCCATAACCCTGGGGACCCAAAACCAGGGTTTCGGATTTAGGGTGACACTTGCGTGGTTGTCAAAATGATGGTCAGTCTTGGGTCCCTATTACACCTATGTATTTAGGGCACCCAAAAAGAAGGACCTTAGTTTTGACAACTACCCACTTCTGCCAGGCGGTCCTGTATTTCTGCAGGGCCGCCTTGCTCTCATCAATCCGCTCCTCCAAAGTCCTGGCATGAAGACTTGCACATCCGACGGTTGACCAGGGTACCTTTAAGGGGTTCCTTGAAAGGGATCTACAAGTGTGCCTTTAAGGGGCTCCTTTAAGGGATCTATCATAGGGGCCTTAAGAATTAGAATAGGGTTCTGGCGTGTATCATACCATAATTACAATAAGGAAAATGGTGCTGGTAATTCTTCAAGCCCCTAGTTTAATCGGGTTTAGTGTTTCCGCCGGAGTAAGGGTTACATCAACCCCCAGCACCAGGCAAAATAATGGCCCAACACCTGCAAAAGGCTGTTACTCTACGTACTGTTGGGGTCCAGGTAGGGGTTTGCAGGAATTGAGGCTTTGAGTTTCGGGATGTCTCGAATGATTAAGGGCTTGGGGTGTCATACACCCTAAGCTCCAGCTGGACCCCAAGCAAGCAATTTGTTTTGCGCACGTCAGCCCTGAACCCAAGAAACCTAGGTCTATACTGAACTTAGAACTCTAGCAAATTTCTCCATTTTAGCTGTTTCTTAGGGATTATACTAACCAAAAATTTAAAAAAATCGCAGTATCCGTAAGAGGTTTTTTTCCAGACTTATACATAAGGCCTTAAGGTACATAGCAAGGAGCAATAACAAGCGCCAGGTCTCTCAGGGTTCAGGTACCCCTTGACACATGATGGCCTTGCTTGACCTTTAAGAACCCCATAGAACCCCCTATGCAACCCCTTCCTTATGCAACCTACTCTGCTACAAAGTATCCCAAAACCCTGAACCCAAAGCAGTAAACCCTTAACCCTGAACCCTAAGCCGTAAGCCCTAAACCCGAAGCCCTAAACCCTAAACCCAGAGCCCTGAACCGTAAAACCCTAAACCTTTGCTACAAAGTGTCCCCAGAGGGTGCATATACACTACCATTATGGAATGAGGCCCTAGAAGACCATCCCCATTCTGGTTTTGGGGATCCAATTCCCAAAATAGCAAGAAACATGGACCCTCTCGGGTCTTTTGAGATCCTGATTATGGTTTCGGGGACCTAATTCCAAAATAGTAGTTAATACGGACCCGAAGCCATAAACCCTAAACCGGGTCTCAAGGTTGAGAGATCTCCAAGTCTCCAAGCTTCGAGCTTCGGATTTAGCGTCCAGCGGTTCAAGGTTTGGGATTGCGGATTAGGGGTTTAGGCCTTGGGACTTAGGGTTTAGGGGTTTAGGATTTAGTGCGCAGGGCCGTGTAGGGGTGTTTTAGCAAGCAAAGTGCATGACCATGCAAGGTTTAAGGAGCAGTACACACCACCCAAAAAGGACAACTTACGCAGGGATCAAGCTTGAAGCACAGTATGTCCATGTCTGGCAGATTCAACCAGATTCTGGTGTTCGGTGGCCGAAGAACGTATCCCGACCTCGCCGCTAGCCCTTGCCGAAGTGGGGTCGTCGAGTTGTACATGCCCGAAAGCTCCGACTGCCCGACCTTCTGCCACGGCATTATGTTTTTCACCCATGACACTCAATGCCCAGCTTGGCTCGGCTGCCATTGGCTTTCAACCCAGTGCGTGCAGACTTGAGTCAGGTATACAGGAAGCAAAAAGCTTGCAGCTATGATGGCTTGCAGCTGTACCTATAGGCTCCTACCCTACCCCTTTTTTAAGGTACCTACTTTTCTATATAGGAGGTCCTAATCATAAAACTAGATACCCTAAAAGAGGGGTAGGGTATGACCCTCCAGGTATATAGCAGCTCACCGTCAACCCGTCCGGACCACAGGGGGTTTGCTGGATCTTGAGCAAAGGTCGGAGCTCCGGGGTGGGTTTACATATATATATATATATGTATATATATACATATATATACACTTTATATAGTTGTCAAAATTAGGGTCCCTTTTTGGGTATTATAATACGGCACCTATTATGTTGGGTACCCAAAAGGGATCCTAATTTTGACAACTACCCATATATAATCTCGGGGGCAAAGGCAGAAAGTCAGCAGAAGATATGGCTGCACGGATCTATATGGATGCCTGCGAGGCTTGGCTTCAGGACTATGCTAAATTATGGCTAAAATCGGAGACGGTTTCCCACCCACCCCAACCCTAAACCCTGCAACCTACCCCAAATCCCTAAAACCCTAAACCACAACCCCCAAACCCTAAACCCAACACCCTAAACCCTAAACCCCAAACCCAAACACCCTAAACCCCAAACCCCTACACACGAACCCCTGGACACAAACCCCTAAACCCAAACTCCTAAGGCCCTAAACCCCAAATCCTAAACCCCGAAACCCTGCACCCTAAATCGACTGGTCAGGAAAGGACAAACGCCCAAACCTCTGCCAGGCGGTATTCTCGACCTACAGGCGAGGGTGTGTTCAGGGTTGCGATGGTGCACCATGGGACTGAGAAACTAGGATTATAAGTAAGGTAACATGTAACTATACTTAAGACTACTTATAACCCCAATGAAGATACTTATAGCTTATGACCTTACTTTCTAAGTCCCAATGATCCTCCAAGTAGGGTTAGTTTACCAGGACCACCAATAACCTACCTTTTACGTATATAGGAGATCATACTGGGGAACGCTTGAAGGAAGGATAGGGCCCAGGTAGCGCTTAAGGTTCCCAGGGTTCGGAGTTCCATGTCGGGTTGAGGGTTCATTTAGGGTCTATGGGTTCAGGGTTCAGGGTTTAGGGTTTGGGGTTTAGGGTTCAGGGTTTAAGGCTATTGTGGCAAAAGGAGGGTTGCTCTCTTCTTCAACAACCGGGTCCCCAAAAGTTCAAACTTTCTGAGATAGAGCTAATATGCAAGGTCAAAAATTTTCTATATAGGAGATCCTAACTGAAAAAACTAGGTACTCTAAACGAGGGGTAGGGTATGACCCTTTAGGTATAGTAGAACCCAGAAAGTTGGAACATCATGGTCCTCATGCTCTTAGGGTAAAGTATAGGAATCCTGGCACTAATCATCCGAAATCCACGTTCCAACTTGCTGGGCTTCACGTTAACACAAAAAGGGTGGAGATCTGTACGAACCTGGAATTCCGAGTACCGAAGCCCTTTGCGTCAGGGGCTGCTGTACGGGAAGGGACCTGACATAACGGCCTGCACAATTCAATTCAGGAATCGTCTGTCCTAGGATTCCCTACTATAGCTGCAGCATAGTATACCAAAACCCTGGCACGATGATATAATCAAGGCCCTTGACTTGAAGGAAACGGATCTGTTTTGAAGCGTAGGCCGTTAATTAAGCCTTCAACCCGAAAACCAAGCCCTAGGAAACTATCATTCCCCCCAGCTTAGTTCAGTACTTTCACTTTAAACGAGTACTGTTTATTTTACGACCACCTAACCTTAAAGCCAACCTAGGCCCTAAACTCTAGTCTAAAGCCCAAAACCCTAGGCCCTAAACCCTAAAGCCCAAACTCTAGGCCCTAAGCCCCAATGCCCAAACCCTAGGCCCTACGAAAGCCCAAACCTCCCAAAACCCTCAAAGCCCATCTCCGAGGCCGAAAAACCCAAAAGCCCAAACCCTGGGGCCCAGGGGCCTCCAGCCCTAAACCCTAACCCCCGGGAAAATTTCACACAAGAGACTTTAACCCAAAGCCTCCATGTGCCCATATAGTAGGTACTTAGGCCTTGAAGGGGTCCGTATACAGGTACTTTAAGGCCTAAGTACTTACTATTTGGGTGCATGGAGCTTTGGGTAAGAAGGCCTCTCCCTTCCGCGCGTCATTCAGCTCGTCGACGAAGGACAGGCTGCTTCCGCTGCTGCGACTGTCCCTGTCCTGCACCGGACTTGCTTGGCTTGCATACAGCTGACAGAACATATATACATACGCACATACATACATACATAAATACATATGCACATACATAAAGTGTGTATATATATATATGACCTATATAAGTTAACTTATATGTATGTATTGTTGACTGCTCATTCATGATTACCCGGCGTCTGTCTAGGTAGGTGGACCCGTAGCAGATGCAGGGATCCAGTTGCGCAAAACAATGGGCACTATGGTTGATGATATCAAATCCTGCATTACCTTAATGACCCTAAACTATGGGAATTCTGGCATATTCCTTATTAATTATGGGTCATACAGGATTTATATAATCAACCGTAGGGACCATAGCAAGTTATCAACCCTTAACCCTTAACCCTAAACCCTAGGCCCTAAACCTCGGCCCTAAGGCATCGTAAATCGGTGAAAACGGTTGACAAACACTTCTGGTCCTCTGCACCATGGCTTCGAGGACGCGGCGGCAAAGGCAGCGCCTCATAGAGGTGACTTTAGGGTTTAGGGTTTAGGGTTTCGGGTTTAGGGACAGGGTCCTAAAAGGGTTACTATAAGGGATACTTTTCAATTTCTCAGGCCCTACTTAGGGAACAGAGGATACTATAAGAAAGGATTGCTCCTTTCAAAGGGTTCTACAAGGGTTGCTATAGGGGTTCCTACCAGGGTACGATGATATAGGGGCCATGATAATTAGAACAGCATTCGGTGATAATAAGAAAGCCCATACTAATTAAGGGCAGCTGTTCTAGGTGAGGACCTCCGTCGGAGTATCCCAGACGGTGTAATGTCGTGATGTCGTCGAAGGACATCTTGCCTGCCCTGCCAAGGCGAGTGAAACGACGCCAACGGCTCTGCTCGGCGTCCTCGGGAAGCACCTCGCCGTCTTCGGGGACGTAGTATTGGAAATCATTTAGGCCCCTGCACTACGGAGTGCAGCGACTGTTCGACTGGGTTTGGGTGTAGGCTTGCAACCATAGGCCAATACCCCTTAATTAAGGAATATACCTTAAACTATAAGGGGGCTCATATTATAATTAAAGCTATATTCCTTAATTAAGGGGTATTGGGCTCTCTGGGCAACCTTGCAAGGTCCGGGGTCTGGTGGTCGATAATCGTGACCTAAACCCCCAGAAGTAGGTAAAATAATGGCCCAATGCCCCTAAAAGGCTATTATTCTACATAATTTTTGGGGCCCAGGTACCTGAAAAAGAACCTCCGAATTACAAGAATCCCCGGCCTCCAGCTCCAACAGTTGGAGCTGGAGGCCGGGGATTCTTGTAATTCGGAGGTTCTTTTTCAGGTACCTGGGCCCCAAAAATTATGTAGAATAGTAGCCTTTTAGGGGCATTGGGCCATTATTTTACCTACTTCTGGGGGTTCCTACTATTTGGGGTACTATATTAGGGTCCCCCTATTTTCGGGAAACCCCTAACTTTTGAGAATAATCCTAGCTGCAGGGGGTAGTTGGAGCCACAGGCAGGTCTGTGCATAAAGAGATAGGGCGTAGGATGCCTCAAGACACTAAAGCCCCAAAGCACCCCACGGTTCCAACTCGGGGCATGGCTTAGGCTTCAGGGTGGCATCCCACACATACCTGTCAAGACGACTTAAAGGATCATGGGACTTAGTGAGTAAGGCTATATGTACCTTAATTGGGTTTATAAGTATGTATAAGTATAGTTACCTTACTCATAACCCTATAGTTACTAAGTCCCATGATCCTCTGAGCATGATCTAGGCTCAAGCCTTCCCGCGTACCACAGCTCCATCTTCCCCCTCAATGTGGCGATGCCTCCCCAAAACAGGCTGGACGGAAGCAAACCTAGTTCATTGTTGGGATAGGATTAAAAAAGGTACATGTTTATTCCTTATCGGGTTTAATTAAGTACCCATAAAAATGGAGAATGTTACCCAACTATGACAATGAAACGCCCTGTAACACCCAAACCGTGGAGCTTTCAAACCTGCAATGAACAGGTGTATGAACCTGGATACCCGAAAGATGCTAATACAAAGCCACTATCTGCCCCCTAAGCCCTGAACCCGCACGCCGGTTTGACTATAGATCCTAAAAGGGACCCAGGCCCTGAACCCTAGAACCCCAAACTCAAAGCGGAGTCCTACACCTTAAACCCTGAACTGTGAAACCTCAACCCCCAATACCAAAGCCCTACCACCTGAAACCCGGAAGATTCCCTCAAAATCCTAAACCCCAAGCCCTCAAACCTCAACCCGAAACCTCAAACTTTAAACACCAAAACCGCCTGCAACTTCACCGAGTGAGTCTGAGATCTTTGTTGGTGCTGGTTGGCCTCGGCCCGGTGCAGTCGTTCAGATTTGTGCAGGGTTTAGGGTCTAGGGTTTAGGGTTTAGGGGTTTAGGGTTTAGGGGTTTAGGGTTTAGGGGTTTAGGGTTAGGGGTTTAGGCTAGGGGTTAGGGTCCAAGGGGTTAGTACGGTTCAGAGGATCGGTTCTTAGGTTCAGGGGCTTGGGATTAAGGTTTAGGGTTGGCGGTCAGGAGTCAGGGTTGAGGGCGCTGTATGTTTTTGTATATGTATATAGGTTTATGCATGTGTATAGGTGTATGAGTATCTGTATGTGTATGATGTATATGTGTATATTATGTCTATGTCTATGTGTATGTGTATGTGCGTATATGTAGTTACATATGTTATAAATGTATAAAGCAGAATGCAGTGTGTATGAATATATGAGCCGCCGCGTTTGTATACATGTAGGGCTGCCTGCACTGTCTGCTAGCGGTGCCCCTATCTCCTTTGTCCATGTCTCGTTCGAGCACCGTTAGTAGCAGCTCTTTCCATCTTGCAACCACGCCAGCTTATGATTTTTCACTAATCCCTACTTGCCGGGTATCATGGGAAACTAAAGGTTAACCTTTTTGGTTATACAGGGACTATACTACCCGAAAAAGGTAAAAGGGTACCTACTCGACTACTAGGAATCATCTCTGTCGGGAAACCGATGATTCTCTCAGCTGCTGTCGCTGTCGCTGCTCGAGCTAGACGAGTTGCGGTGTTCTTGCAGTAGTAGTACTAGTAGTAGTTGTAGTCGTCGTCGTAGTAGTAGTAGTCGTCGTCGTCGGTAGTAGTAGTAGTAGTAGTAGTAGTAGTAGTAGTCGTAGTAGTAGTAGTAGTAGCAGCAGCAGGAGTAGTAGTAGTAGTAGTAGTACTACTACTACTACTACTACTACTACTACTACTACTACTACTACTAGTAGTGGTAGTAGTAGTAGTAGTAGTAGTAGTAGTAGTAGTAGTAGTAGTAGTAGTAGTGACAATACTGATAATAACGACAATAATACGAATAATGATAACCCAGCACTGATAAATAAACTACTACTGAAAATAGTAGTAGCACTACCAATAGGGATAGCACTAATTCGTCCTAGCCACCCCTAAACTCCAAAAGCCTGCTACCTGACTGAGTTCCCCCGCACGCCAGGGGCCATCAGCTGTACGCCAGCTACGAGCACCTCTTGGAAGGGTCAGCCGAGTGAACAACGAGGACTTCGCCAAGGGAATATGGGGGGCCTTAACGAATCGAATAACTAGAGTTTTGATGTGTATACATTAAGTTTACATATTGAAGAACCCTAAGTCCTGGAATTCTTGTCTTCATAACGGTGTGTAAGCACAGGGTAGGTAGGGACTATAGGGCTCGGGGTGCGTGCTGGGCCTTCGCATCTGACGCCAGGTTGGCAAAATCAGGGTCCCTGAACCCTAGGGTTTAGGGTTTAGGGATTTAGGGTTTAGGGTTTCAGGGTTTAGGCTTTAGGGGTTTAGGGTTTGGGGCCTAGGGTTTAGGGTCTGACCCAAACCCAGGAAGTTTGGGGCTGTTTCAAGTACAAACCCTGCAACCTGCACCGGTAGCTTAAAACCCTCGGCCCGAGGTAAAACACATCTGTGTGGCCTTTCTGGACACGGCTAGTCATGCAGAGGTCTCTCAAGTTGTACTTGCAGGATCAAGGCACTTAGTATTTAAGTCATAAGCTAGGTAGGGTATGATTTCCGAAATCGGGTTGCTGCACTAGGACGTAGTGAATCTCATTCTTATTGAGTCTGCACGTTCATGAAACTGTCGTCAAAACACACGAAGTTATCAAGCGTAGGACATAACAGTAAGCACAGTCAAGACACCAATAATCGGTGCAGAAGCTGCCCCCATCGCCCAAACTGAACGTATATAAGCCCTAAACCCAACAACAACTACACAGCATTTCAAACATCGCATACAAGCCCAATCCTCGTATCCTAGTTATGCCCAAGCCCGAAGCGCCCAACCAGGGGCCATGATAGATTGGAAACCTCGATGCCCCCGGAGCACAAACACCCTAAACCCTAAACCCACACACCTAGAATTTTAAACCAACTCAACGACTCTTCTGTTCAGGGCTGCCAGTGCGGGAAGGCCGGTTTAGGGTTTTAGGGTTTAGGGTTTAGGGCTAAACTTTCAACTTATGGACATTCGTGCCTAGGGTTCTTGGCGGCCCTTCAGAGATTATGCCTTGTGCTCCATGCTGTAGAAGATACTTGATGGGAGTTGTCCCTCATTTCAAACAATAGCCTGGCAAGTTTCAGGAGTTCACATTTCGTCAACATCGGCTCCCATGCGCATAGTACGGTTCAGCACTACCCCAAAGGCTCCATGTGCCCATATAGCAGGTACTTAGGCCTTAAAGGGGTCCCTATATAGGTACTGTATGGGCCTAAGTACCTACTACATGGGCACATGGAGCCTTAGGGTACGAGATCCTGAAGCAGGGAAGACTAAACGTCACTTCAACCCTAAAACCTTCGACCGCTTACTGGAAACCCTCTGTAAATGTCTGGCAGAGGACTGGCGGCAGCCGGCGGCACATCCATCGGAGGTGTCGGCTCACCGTAACTGGTTGCAGGTTGGTTTCTTAGCACCCGCCTAGCATTAGGGCTCCATGCTCGTACCTTAACCTACCAAACCCTACTCTTTTTGTAGGGTCCCTATAAACTTCATATGAGGGCTCAGAAGAAGAACCTACACAAAAGTAGGTTTTGGAAGGTTAAGGTAGTACAGGGGCTGCACTACCGCTCGACCAAAGGAAGCCTCCCTACACAGCCTAGTATAGGGTCCTTGCGAAGAGACCTCAGGGATATTGGAGTTGCTGGTCCTCTCATTAGTTCTTTTTCGGAATTTGGCTGAACAAGCATGATCCTCTGACGAACCAGATCGATTATCGAAATACCAAACAGAAACGGCCCCTGACGAACCTCAACTCCAAAGCGAGCCAAGTTGCTGCCAACATCGTCTGATGTTTTTCTTGCACAGTTTGTTTGCGGAGCCAAACCTCGATATTGGTCCAAGCGCTGTCGAAATGGCAGGCGGCACGGTCTTGTGTAAAGGCTTCTGGCCGCATGGATGTACCCCGGAGGGCGAGGAATTTTGGTGCGGACACATCGTGCAGCCCCGATGGGGTTCCGCACGTCCTGGCCTCTTCTGGAGAGATTCATGCGCTGCTTCTCAGTACATGAACAGCGAGGGCCGAGAGTAGAAGCTGAGGCAATTCACCTCGCCGTGCACGTCCAGAAAACTTACTGTGGCGAAGCCGGAGTGTTCGGTGAAGCCTGCCTCTGCGAAGACGGTCCAGAGGCACGGAGCCTGCACCCGCAGACAAACTCGCAGGTCATCTCCGCCTTTTTTCAGCGTAAGCGAGCAACATCCATCAAGGCACGCCTCTGGTCTTGTTCTCCTCGTGTTCAAGGACATCTCACCAGAAGCTCCCAGCTCTGTGCCAGTGGCAGTCGCACTCGGCATAATGTAGATTCCTAATTGTCAGAATAGGGTTTTTGGAGTCTAAAACCTGGAGCCCTTATGCAACCTTTATACATATCTGTTAGAACCCTTATGGAACCCATATAGAACCCTATAAAGCCCTGATAACACCCTTATAACACCATGCGGAAACCTTACAGAGCCCTAAAGCCTCCATCCCATGCTCGAAAGTTTAGGTTTAGAGTCTAAAACCTACATCCCCCTAACCCACACCCAGACGCGTAAAACCTAAACTCCAAAACCCTTGAAACTCTAAACCCGCATAAACCTTAAACGCGCAAACCCTAAACCCAAGCCCTAAACCCTAAACCGCTTGTAAACCTTAAACCCGCGAACCCTAAACCCCCCAAAATTTTCAACCTTCATCCTACAGAGTCTTGACGCCGAGGCCAGGGCTGGAAAGGAGGCGGCTGCGGCTCGTTGCTTGGGACGGGGCGATGCCTCGAAGGCTGTTCGGGGGCTCGCTATTACTATAGTGAGGCCTTCATGAAAGCTTTTAAGGTTCAGAACTAGGGTTCTTAGGTTCGGGTTTAGGGTTGTTGGGGTTAAGGGCTTATACATACGTTTGATACCACAGCGAGCCTATTATGAAGGGTTTAGGGAGTCGGGCTCCTTTATTTTAATGGAGCCTTAATAAATAAGGTTTCCGATGTACGGCTTTCTACCTATGTTGAGGCCTTAATAAGGGGCTTAACGTTTATGTCAACTTCAATACAATACTGTAGTGGGGCTTAATGAAGGATGCTTAAGGTTGAACGAAAGGATCGTTCCAACAAGATTGGGCCGACGGCAGCTGCAACGAGTCCTTGCGTCGCTGACTGACAGCCGCAAGGGCTTCAGGGATCGAGGTCTGCGGCACTACCTTAAGCCGGAATAACCTACCTTGTTAAGGACTTGTATAAGGAAACCATAAGGAACCCTAAAAAGGTAGGTTATTCCGGCTTAAGATAAACCCTAAACAAAAAGTCTCCGCCATGGAGGAAAATGCAGATGTGTCAGATGCTTTCAGAACAGATGCGCACATCATGGCAGGCTTGGCGCTGTAGTCGTACATGTAAGATCCAGTCTGTATGCCAGCCCGCACTCGTTCAACAGCGCATTCCAAAGCCCAGTGCCGCAAATATCGGGCCCGCAAAAAGCACATAAGCAAACATGAGGATAGGGATATCCCATATAACCCCCCTGGGTATGAAGGTCAATAAGGTAGGGATATCCTTATAAAGTGATGAAGCTTATGTCCCTTTGGGGTCCCTGAAAATAGCATACGATGGCAGACTCGCTGTCCAACTCCACCAATCTGCCGGCCTACTTAGATGGCCATTTCGACGCTGACTACAGTCTGCGCTGTAGTTCCTTATATTCTTTTGGTTAACTAACCATGGTCAGGATCCTACATTTATAACCAACACCTTTGTTGGTCCCGGATCCGGGCTCAGTCTTCTCGGATTTCGGATTCTTCTGAGCCTTAGATCCGCGCGGGGTGGAGTGTGGGGCCGGTGGAGGGTCCGTTGTCGCTTGCAGCTGCGGACCGCTCACTGCTGCGCACACTGAAGAAGCGCTTGCAGTGCATGTGATAGTCCTCCATAGCACCTTGAAGGAACTGCTCGAGCAAGCAAGACAGCGCGGCTCAAAGGGGGGCTGATGGGCCTTGGGACGGGCCACTAGGGCATTTTGCATATCTGACCTGACATGTGTAGGCTCATCAACGATGCTTGGAGGCTGGATTTCAATGAAAGCCATGCTCCGCCATACCGTGCGAAGGGTTCGCAATTCCAGAGGCGAAAAACAGTACAAGCATCTCGGCGCTGTCTCGCTTGCCCGATAGATCCAGGCCGTGGTGCTTGGGCACCTGTAATCCAAAACATGACCCTCACTGCCACTTTCCATGTATGTCCCAACCTAGTCAGCATGTGGGGGGGTTCCGAAAATAGGGCACCATAATAAAGTACCCTAAAAATAGTAGGATCCTTATTATAAGGATCCCAAAATACGGTACCCCTAATTTTCGGAAACTCCCATTTGCAACGAGTTCTAGAAGAAGCCATGGATTTGTCCGGAGTGTAGATGGAGATGGTGGAGGTTGCTTACGAGGCAATGGGGGCTACCAACACGACTACTACTTTCTACTCCAAGTTCCCATGCAGCCGCGGGGAAGGTTCTAGGTATAGGGCTTAGGGCCTTAAACCCACCCTGAACCAGTCCCCAAGCCCAAATCGCAGAGCTCTGTCAGCACCGCACAAGGCCTCAGGTTCGAGGAATGCACCACACCTGGGACCAAAGCTACCCTAAGGGTCCATGTACCCAAATAGTATATACTTTGGGCCCAATGTACCCATATAGGGGGTACTTTCAGGCCAAAGTATATACTATTTGGGTACATGGACCCTTAGGGGTATGGTTTAGGGTTTTCGGGATTTAGGGTTTTAAGTAGGGGGTTTCTGGAGGGTCTCAGAGTCGGGAGTATGGTCCGTCGGGTGCTTGAGTTTCGCAGCTCAGGGTATAGCGCTCGGAAGTCTAGAGTGTACCTATAGTCTCCATTGTGGTTCCTTTTTGGGGCTACCTTTTAGGATCCTTAATATAAAATGGTTAAACATATAAAGATTAGGAGTATCGAGTCGAGGGTTTAGGGTTAAGACTTTCAGGTTTTAGGGCTTAGAGTTCAGGTTTTCGGGGTTTTGGAAGATTAGGGCTTAGGGTTAAAACTTTCAGGGTAGAGTTTAGCCGCTTGCGGCGACTGGCTGAGGTTCTCCCTGCTCAATGAAGTCGGGCTCAGGATTTATTAGTTTTGGTTCCCTGGTTTCTGCCGGAAGCCTGGCACTTTCAATCAACAGAAGGAAAAACAAAAGCCCAGATGACCCAGTATAGACTTCTTACAAAGCCGATGCGCACCCTTCATCCCTCGCTAACTCCCCCCACTATAGAACCCTAGCAAGACACAAACCATGACAACAGCCGGGCCGCTCTGACGGCATTGCTGGAAGGGGTTCGCCAAGTTTTCTGGCTGAACCTCGAGCAGGGTGTGCGGTTTAGATGAGTGTTCAGGGTCCAGGGTTATCAGGGTTCGGAGTGTTGGAGCTTAGTGCCTGTCCCTCGACCCTACAACGTGCGTCGTGGTTCTTTCAGTTTCCTGCATCGTCTCTTAAAGTAATTGCGATCTTTGGTCAACCAGATGCTTTCCATCTGGTGGAGCGTAACTTAGCTTCCTGAACAATCACCCGATAAGAAAGACCGAGAAGACACCAGATCATTTAACAAAAGTTGTTCGCAACAACCGAGAACCACTTTTAACTCCCTTTATGGGTAGTGTTTAAAAATAGGGTCCATTTTAGGTATCACAAAATGGTACGGCACCCCACCAATTAAAGAGTCCCTGAGAGGGACTATAACTTAGAGAACTACCGTTATGGTGGCCTTGGGAAGAGTTGACAAAAGAAACTCCTTGCGCCGAACCGCCAAAAGCATAACGGTTTAGAGTTGGAGGGTTTAGGGATTGAATGTTAAGCTCCTTTTCGGCGCAAGTTAAACCCCAAAAAAGGCACTACAAGTGAGACTATGGGCTCAGGATTTAGGGTTTAGTTTAGGGTTTAGGGTCTAGGGTTTTAGGATTTAGGGCTTGTAGGGTTGTAGACTATGGAAGATACCTGATTATTGGGGAAACTAGACCTTCCTATGCTAAGAGGAATCCCTTGAAGAAGGTATCCCTACCGATCGGCCCTTTCTTCCTTCGGGTCTTGTGCAGAACCAGAGCTTCATAAAAACCCTAAACCCTGCCTTAACGGATCATGGGACTTAGTAAGCGAGGTAACTAGGATAACCCCACTTAGGGGACTTATAACCCCAAATATAACCTACTAAGTCCCATGATCTTTTACGTAACTCCAAACACGAAACCTTCCCAGCAACCCTGAAAGGAAAGCATCAGGAGCCCTCCGAGGACTGAGGACCCAAAACCCCAAACCTCCGAAGCCTAAACCTGTTTTCCCCTAAACCCTAAACCCTAAACCCTAAACCCTAAGCCTGTAAACCGTCAACCTCCTCCATCAACTAAACCCCAAAAACTAAACCTCTACAAACTAAACCCTCAGGACCTGGCGTGGTCCCTAAACCCTAAGCATCGACAAACTAAACCCTCAGGATCTGGCGTGGTCATACTCCAGCATCCAGGAGACCGAGGATATGTCGGCCTGCTGCACGGCGGCGGAGGCATCGGATGGGGGCTCCTTGGGCTTTAAGGTTTTAGGGAGGGCCACGGTTGATGATATACATCCTGCATTACCTAATAAGGACCCTAGACTATAGGAATTATGGCACATTCCTTATTGTGGGCCATGCAGGATTTGTATCATCAAGAGTATGGCGAGGCTACTTAGTTGCTGAGTTCATAAGCCCCCAAAAGTGTACACTTTCAGTTTTATAGTGGGTAATATTACCCCCCCCCCAAACAAGTGTAAGGTGTATCACCACTCAGCTACTAAGGCTATGGCGAGGAGTCTGGGCGCTAGGATCGTGTTGGCTTCGGCTTTTGCCTGTAGACCCAAAACCCAAAACATACAGTAGAAGCCAAAAAGGAAACCCCATAGCCTCAATCCGTAAGAGTACTGTATAAGAAATCCCAGCACCATTTGTCCTCAATCCGGTTTCCAACTTTTGGGGGTTTACTTTACTACTAGGATACCCAGTAACCTAAGAAAAAAAAGCCTCTCTTTTTTGTATTGGGTAACGTTATAAGGAACCTAGGACTACAAAAAGGGAATAAGGGTACTACTGGGCATCCTAGACTAGGTTCTGAACGCTTAACGAAGGGGCCTGGCCCTGATAATGATAGGCAACCGAGCCACAGGTAGTCAAAGAATATACCTGAAACTATACGGGGCCCCATATTGAGGATTTTAGGCTATATTCCTGAATTTAGAAATATTAACCTCTCTGGGGAAGCTCAGGGGATTCATTCTGGGCTTTAAAAGGGGATCCATGACCTTGTTGTTTCATGGGGCTTTCGGTGGCTTTCGTACTCATCCAGCAAGCTGAAGGCTTCAAGTTGAGAGTTTGTCAAAGGGGAAAAAGGAGGGACCCTTAATGGGGCCCCCTACCCTATAATGGGCTCTATAATGGGGTATATCATAGCTATAATTAAGGGTATGTACCTAGGGGTCCTTATTAAGGGTCCCTCCTTTTACCCTTGGATTATTGTAAGCCTTACCCGAGCCCCAACAGTATGTAGAATAATAGCCTTTATAGGTGTTGGGCCATCATTTACCCCATTTGTGGGGGGTTTAGGCATAGCTTGGGATCTAACGCGTGGGCTCTGGCAGATGTAGAGGCTCAGGGGCAGCAGCAGTAACCCACTGCAGCTTCTAAGAAGCCATGCTCTAAGATTCCAGAGGACACAATATTTAGGTACTGGGTCTTAGGATAGTAGTTATGTAGGTTAGGATGCTGGAGGGTATATGATTATATTAGGTACTTGGACCCTTGGAGATTCATTCGAGGGCGAGCTTCGGAATCGCCACTACAGCTTGAACTGCAGCACTTTCGAATCCGTAACAAAAGCTTGTGGCCATTCAAGGGCCTGCTCACCCACTGATCACTCGCCCTGAACGCTAAACACACTCTGTATGTAAGGGCTGGTGCGGATGGGGTTTTGGTGTACTGTATCTGTATATAGCAAATTAGAGTACAGCATGGCATGGTATGGTATAGTACGGTATAGCTATAACTAAGAAGAAGGAACCCTTCTGGACTACCAGCCCGTCGATTTAATGTGCAAGACAACGCTGAAGTGCCTGATTCGTCGGTCTCACCTCCTCTGTGCGAGCCTCTGGGGACGTTGAGGGCTTTCGGGCTTGGGATTGATTACTGAAACTCCGAGTACGGAAGCGAAGGGCGTTCAGGGTTTGACTTTTGCGGTCCTAGGCTAAAATTGCACCTGTTTCGCCTTAGTTGGAAAATGGCTGGCGGGATTTTGAGATTCGTCATGGAAGCTTGCAGCTGTTGCTGATGCTGTTCTCAAAGGGTCCGACCCCTGACTTCTGACTCTAGAGAACACGCCCGAAACCATACTGGAGATGGCTTTTGGGTGGCCAAATGCAATGATAGTAATACATATGGACCCTGTTGGAGTCTGCCCAAACACCGCCACGAATGCCCTTTAATGTCAACTTTAGTGTCACCGTTTGAGTTGACCAACCGACTAGCCCAGCACCCGTCTCTACAGTACCACTGTGGTCCACCTTCCGGGCATGCCCGCATATCCCAAGACCCTACCCCCGATATCGCGCACAAGTTTGCGTCTGAAACCAGAAACCGTGCATCGCCATCCCCAGTTTGAAACGTTTCCAAAATCCAACATTGCAAGCTCCAACAGTCCCTTCAACCCAGACTCCCCGTGACTCCCCGTTTCCGAGAACCCCGTCTAATCGTAAACCCCAGACACTCAGCCCTAGACCCAAACACACAAAAAAGGAAATCACCAACAAAACAAAGAATCCAAAGGGTCCTTAAGTACTGTCATGGGGGATACTTGCCCAAATCCTGACGATGTTTCATCCTACTTTAGAGCCTCTATAGTATACTTTCTAGGTGCTTAGGAACCCCAAACCCCCTTCCATCCAAGAAACCCTTTAAGGAACCCTTAGAGGAACCCAAAGAGGTACTTAGGCTCCGTTCGGTAACCCTAAGGCTCCATGTACCCATATAGTATATACTTAGGCCTTCAAGTACCTATATAGGGACCCCTTTGAGGCCTAAGTATCTACTATATGGGTGCATGGAGTCTTAGTGAAAGGAACCCATGTAGGTACTTAGGGTACCATATAGTAAATACTTACGTCTTAAAGTACCCATATAGGGACCCCTTTAAGGCCTAAGTATCGACCATCCAGATACATGGCCCCTTTGTGTAACGACACAGCTGGGACTCGCGGCCCGGCTGCGGCCGCGGCGCTGCGGACGTCGGTTGGGGCCATCGGGCGCCTGCGCTGGGCAGGGGGGTTCCTTGGGGGCAACGCCGTCTTTGATATTATTAATATTAATATTAATATTAATATTAATGTTAATATTAATATTAATGTTAATATTAATAGTATTTTATTATTATGTTGTTGCTCTTGTTTGTTTGGGGGCAACGCCGCCATTATCAATCATCATTGTACTAGCTTCTTGGTAATGACGAAAGAATATCAATAATCAATAACAAGACAATCATGATAACAGTCATAGTCATACTAGTAAGAGTAATTCTCAAGTAGGGTTGTAATACATCTCGTAGGAATGAAAGGTAACAATATGAAGAACAAAACTTATCATAATCATAGGAACACTAGTGAGTGTAAGCATCGCAATCTTAACAACAACGATACATCATATATAGTATCGATAGAAGCAAAAAAGCAACCATGGTAGTGGTGGTAGTAGAAGAAGTAGAATTAGTAGTAGTAGTAGCAGTAGTAATGGTACTACTACTACTACTACTACTACTGCTGCTGCTGCTACTACTACTACTACGACTACTACTCCTGCTACTACTACTACTACTACTACTACTATTACTACTACTACTACTACTACTACTACTACTACTACTACTACTACTACTACTACTACTACTACTACTACCACTACTACTACTACTACTACTACTACTACTACTACTACTACTACTACTACTACTACTACTACTACTACTACAATAACAACTACTACTACCACCATCACCACTACCACTACTACTACTACTCCTCCTCCTCTTCCTCCTCCTCATCCTCCTCCTCCTCTTAATAGTACTATGACCATGCCAACAACAGCATATCCAAGTGATATCGGTCTGTCAGTCGGGACATGCTAGCGCGTTGCCCTTCATCCTGAGACAGGAGGTGCAGCAAAGCGGCTTGGCGGCTGAACTGAAACTGCGTCTGGTGTCACCGCTCCGTTCCGTTCCCTAAACCCTTATAAACCCTATAAACCCTAAACCCGAAATCGCCAAATTGCGCACCAAGTCCGCAGAGGACGGGTGCCCCGGGTTGACGCGGAGCCGAGAGACAGCTCGCTTGATCTCCCGGGGCGCTTTACCCTCGGGCGCGTGGCCGTTGCGAATGCCCACCCTAAACCCTAAACCCTAAACCCCTAAACCCTAAACCCCTAAACCCTAAACCCCTAAACCCCTAAACCCTAAACCCTAAACCCTAAAACCCTAAATCATCAGCTCCCGGAGGCATGCGAGGCGACCTCAGTACGTGGTATATGAGGGAGTTTCCGAAAATTAGGGGCACCTTTAAAGGGATCTATAGGTTCCTATAAGGGATCTAAAGGGTTTAGGGTTTAGGGGAGTTTCCGAAAATTAGGGGTTCTTTCTTCTGGGGTCCGTATAATAAGGATCCTACGATCTAAGGTGCTATACTAGGGTCCCCTATTTTCGGAAACTCCTTTTATCCGGGGTGACCTCGAGGTCCCCAAGTGGTGGCCCAGTGTGAGGAGGCGGTGCCGGGGCATCGTTTGGTTCTTAATATTAATTATGTTGCTAGTTGGTTTTGAAGTATTTGGGGGTGTAAGGGAATGCACAAGGCTTGGGATTTATGGTTTTGAGGACTTAGGACGTAGGGGACTATAGGGGTGCTAGAATGTTAAGTCGTTTGACGATTTTGGGGAGTAGGGATTCAGGGGTTAAAGGATTCAAATTTAGGGATTCAAGGCTTAGGATATAACATCGATTTCATGAGCAGTCCAGACTGAACAACTTAACCCAAGACGGGAGGTGACCGGCTTAACCACTACTTATTGGTCGAATCCTGATTGCAGGCTGCCAACCCACCACAAACTGAGGTTCAGATTAGAAAACTCTTAAAAAATAATTTTGCCCTAAACCCTAAACCCCTGATAGTACCCTTATAGACATATAACTTATAGATCCCTTGTAGTCGTCCTTGAAGGAACCCATAAAGGAACCCTAGATCACACATCCCCATTCATGCCTGAATCTCAATCTGGGAAACGTTAAAGTTAAAACAAACTGTGGCATTCGACTTCTGACTACTCACCGTGCGTACTGTACTCCACGGTTGGGGGTGCAGGGACAGATTCTCCAAACCTTGGGCGCCGTTCACCTTACCTAAACCCTAAACTATATACCCTAAACCCTAAGCCCTAGAATCCTAAACCTATACAGAAGAACGGCGAGATCAGATGCACAGGTTTCCACCTCAGATCCGGTAGAAGTGCTGCGGTGGCGCCTGTCGTCGCAAATGGCACAAAAGGGGGCTCATATTATGAGTTAAGCTTTTTGCCTGAATTAAGGGTGGGGGGGTATTGGGCTTTCGGGGACTGACCTAGGCCGAAGCTATCGTCTATAGTAGCCGAAGCCTCCAACATCCCATTCAACTAGGGAACAGACTTTAGCTCAGTGCAGGTCTCCATCAAACAACTTCGACATGGTTTTGACCGGGTGAGCTGAGGCGCCCAAATAGATTCCTCTGTTCCTCATTTACCCAGACCCCTGACAGGATCCACAAAGTAGATTCCTTAATGGGGGTTCCAAGAAAGTACCCTTAGTAGTATAAGGCCCCAAATTAAGGTCGGCCCTTACCCAGACCCCGGGAGGATCTAGAAAGTAGATCCCCTATATTAGGGGATCTACTTTCTAGATCCTCCCGGGGTCTGGGTAAGGGCCGACCATCTTTCATGCGAAGACTGACGCCCCAGATGGGATCAGAGCTTCAAAAGTGCTTACTTGGAGGGTCGGGGGACTTAGTAACTGGTTATTTTAGGGACTTATAAGTACCATAACCCCAATTAGGGCCCCTTTTAGGGTACTTATAAGTCTACTTACTATCTACTTACTAAGTCCCCCGACCCTCCAAGTATCCTACGTGTCGAGTATCCTGGGGAACTACAGGTGAGCCCTTTAGAGTAGAAGCCAGAAAGTTGGAATATCATTATCGTAACCCCTTTAAGGTAAATTATAGGGGATCCTACCATTAATCCATATTCCAACTTTCTGGAGTTCCCTTTAGAGGATATTGGGATTATGGGATTATAAAAAATTAATACCCTAAAGAGGTTAAAAGTTGCTATGCAGTGATTTCTGGAGTTGGACGAGTGAGAAAGCCAAGCAACCAAACACTCGACGAAGACTAGGATACCCAGTAACCTGAGAATAAAAAGGCCTCTCTTTTTGGTATTGGGTAACTTTATAAGGAACCTAGGACTACAAAAAGGGAATAAGGGTCCTACTGGGCATCCTGGAAGAAGGGCTGAGGCTAACACTCGACGAAGAAGGGCGAAAGGACACATCCTTGTCACCCGAACCGCAAGACCCTAAGGGTCCATGTACTCATATAGTATATACATTGGCCGTAATGTAGTCCCTATATAGGTACATTGGGGCCCATGTATCTCTATATGGGTACATGGACCCTTAAGGAGAGTTGAGCTGCTGGCCAATGGGACTGGACTCACGCTTCGAAGGCTGTCACAACTGAGCCCTTCAGCGTCCTGGAGCTTGAGTGGAATCCATCTCTCGAAAATCGCGCTGAGAGCGTGGTGGGCAGATTGAACAAGAGGTTTGGCAGTTTGGCACGACTGCCACCACCAACCATCAAAGATCGGGACTGGTGACTGCATCAACTCACCCGGACTCCCGCCGGGGCTGCGTCTTTTGTTTGTTTGGCGACTGAGAGTTCGCAGGCGACAGCTTCATCGAACTTGTCAATTGAAACTCTTCCCGCCTGCTCAGTGGTACCTTTCTTGTCGGAGGCCTCAAAAGGTGGGATGAAGGTAGGTACTTAAAGGCAGGATAACCCCACTTTGGGGACTTATAGCCCCAGTTATAACCTACTTACTAAGTCCCATGATCCTTCAAGTAGGATTAAGGATCCCTTATATAAGGACTCTTATTTGGGAATATACCCAGAGCCTCCAAAACCCCTTAATTAAGGAATATACCTTAAATCATAATAGGATCCCTAATATAGTTCAAGGTATATTCCTTAATTAAGGGGTTTTGGAGTCTCTGGGTACCACCTACCCTTCTTGGCCGCCTGTTCAGGGGTGTGCCGGAGCCCTTCAAGGAACCTATATGGGAGTTTCCGAAAATTAGGGGCACCTTTAAAGGGATCTATGAGTTCCTATAAGGGATCTATAGGGTTTAGGGTTTAGGGGAGTTTCCGAAAATTGGGGTACCCTATTTTGGGGTCCATATATATTAAGGATCCTACTACTCAGGGTACTATATTGGGGTCCCCTATTTCCGGAAACTCCCATATGATACCTTCAACACGAATGGCCTTGAACCCTTGAACCCCTGAACCCTGGAACCCTTAACCCTTAAACCCTAAAACCCTTCTCGAATCCATCTCTAAATCTATCTCTCACGTCCCTCCAGAATCCAGACTTCATCAGCCAAGCAGTTTCCGTAGACTCCTTGTGAAACCCATGTCGCAGAAAAGGCATCCACCGAACGCTCTAAACCTAGCCACCCCCCCTCCCCGCTCCAACAAATGAAGCACAAAATCTTAGACCGTAGAACTCAACAGGACCACTCCGGGGCTGCTGCTGATTCGAGGAGGGGATTGGCGCAGTCTGGCAAAGGTTCTCAGGTTTGGGGTTTTGATTTGCTCTAGTTCGCTAGGGGTGACAAAGAGGCGATAGTCGGGATGGGATGCAGCAGGTTTTGAGTTAATGGTCGTTGGGGTTGAAAGTGCGTCGAGATTTTACGGTTTCGAGGGCTTCAGAGATGAGCACCCTAAACCCTAAACCCCCAAGGTGTTCCTTGTTTTAACGGGGGCCGGGGGAAAGATTGGACAGTTCTTGAGGTCGAGGCTTTGGTTTGGGGTGTCGGGTTTGGCAATTACAAAACGCGTGTTTCGGGTCTCAGGGTTTTGTAGGCATTATCATGCTTGAACATCTTAGTTAATGGCCTCAATGGCGCTTCAAGTAGAATCCCCCACAATGTATACCTCAAGACACCGAAAACTTCTGAGACTATTGGCAAAGTCTGCATAACACAGGCTTGCAGCTTGGGAAATGTCGCAGTGGCGTCGGGTTTAGGGTGATGTGTTTAGGGTTTGCGGCAGTCGCTTTTGATGGGAGCCGGAGTGATCCCGTGTGGCGGTTCAAGCAGAGTAGGTGTAGCTTTCGGACGTTCCTCCGGAGGGCTGGGACAAATCAACAGTCTCCCTCTCTTGTGGGATTCCCGAGCCACCGCTTTCATTATCTGTGTAAGGTGTACGGCCCGAGACTGATTTATGCCGTGAGCCCCAAAAGCCTATCAAACGTTCGATGCATAATCCTCAAGCCTCAGCGAATGATACCACATCATCATTGTATAAAAGGCGCACACACACAATCTCTCTGACACACACACACACGCGCAGATCTTGATCCCCCAATCCCCCATCTGCAACAGAATTGAAACCTGGATGCTCACGATCTTTATTAGGTTATAACGCTCCGAAACCTCAGAGCACCCAGTATAGTCATAGTGAGAGCGATACTCGAACCTGTTCGCTGAAGCGGAGATGCTCCGAATCGTCGCGCTCTCGCCGCGAGTCCTCGAATCAATGGGGGCTGGGCATTGATTGCACGCAGGTTCAGCATTTCCTAGTGACTTTCATGGTTTCCCACAACAACGTCTTTCGACTATGGTATCTATAGGCTGTATGTGCTCCAAAGATAGCCTGTTCAGCTCCTATCTTTATATACATGGTCTACAAAGCTTACAGGATACCCAGTAACCTAAGAATAAAAAGGCCTCTCTTTTTGGTATTGGATAACTTTATAAGGAACCTAGGACTACAAAAAGGGAATAAGGGTACTACTGGGCATCCTAGACAAGCCCCACCAGGCCCTACCAATGATCCTGACAATCCTGATGCCAACGGTGGCAAGTCTGATCCTACACCATGCCCAGCCATCCGATATGATTCCCAAAGGGTCCAAGGTACCAATATGGTAGAATGTAAGGTTCCTATAGTAGGAAGTACTATTAAAAAGGAACTCCAGAAAGTTGGAATATGGTTTCAGGGTAGGATGCGTTATAATTTACCATAAAGGGTTTAAGATAATCATATTCCAACTTTCTGGCATATACTTTATGCTGTGGAAAGTAGTCCCTATACCAGTATCTAGGACCCTTTGGGATTGGTATGATTGGTGAAACCGATCGGCTCCGTCAGCTGCGTCTGTTCCGCGGTCGGACTAATAGACATTGTCTGCCGTAGTACACAAATAGACACCGACAAGCAAACAAACAAACATACACCCAGGCAAGCAGACAACGACACAGACAGTCAGAGGCAATGACACAGACAAAAACAGACATGCACACAGACAAACACAAGAAAAGATATACGAAATCTCTCTAAATCCACATACACACGTGCACCTGCACGATAGCCCTGAACAGGCCAAACAAGATGCATGCGAAGTGCATGAAGACATGCGTACACGTAAATATAGATATGTGCTGCATGTATGTTTCTGCATATGTATCCAATACTTCTCTACGTTGGCGTGACCGACCTACCGCAAACTCTAAAACCCTGAAGAGCCCTCAACCCAAACCCTAAAGCTCGTTCAGTACAGCATCATAGACCATCCTTAAATGAAGCCGTCAAGTATAAAACATCTATGGAACAAGCCATCAGGATGAAATCCCAAACCCCAAACCTTTAATCCCAAAACCTGCAAATCCCAAACCCTAAACCTCCTTCTGCACTCTCTGCAACCCAACTTGTCAACCCTAAACCCCTAACCCCAAAGGTGTAAACCCAAAACCCAAACCCTAAATTCCACGTCCAACCCTAATTCAACCCTACACCCCTAAAACCTAACCCCTATAACCCTGAACCCTAAACCCCTAAACCGCCCTAAACCCTATAGATCCCTTAAAAGAACCCTTAGATATCCCTTTAAAAGGAACCCTTCAAGGAACCGTTAGAGATCCCTTTAAAGGAACCCCTAAACCGCCATGCAAACCCCAACCCTAAACCCTACAGATCCCGTAAAGGAACCCTTAGAGATCCTTTTAAAGGAACCCTTAAAGGAACGGTTAAAGATCCCCTTAAAAGAAACCCTAAGCCCCTAAAACCCTAACCCCAATAATCCAGAACCCCTAAACCCCTAACCCTAAACCCCATAGCTCCCTTACAAGAAACCCTTACAGCTCCCTTTAAAGGATCCCTTAGAGATCCCTTTAAAGGAAACTTTAAGCCCCCATGCAAACCCTAAACCCGTCACATCCTAAACGGGCCCACTATGGTATCCTCTACAGATTCGCCAAGGAGGGCGTGAGACCCTAATAATATCCCTTTTTGTAACCCTTATAGGACCCTAAACCCTAAACCCCTAAACCCTAATCTCTAATCCCTAGACCCTAAACCCCCTAAACCCCCAACCCCTTGCACCCCTAAACCCACATCCCCGGGCCCACTGAGAGCCGGGCCCCTCGCCGGAAGGAGCTTCTGGGGCTCATCTTAGGCCTCTCATCCTGGCGTCTCCGGCCCTACTTAGGGAATCTGTAGAGGATACTAGGATTCCTTTAAAAAGGTTCCTTTAAAAGGGTCCTGTAAGGGGAACTACATATCTTAGGCCTTTCATCCTGGGGTCTCAGGCCCTTGCTTTAAGGGATTCCTTCAAAAAAGCTTAGGGGTTTAGGGGTTTAGGGGTTAGGGATTAGGGGTTTAGGTCTTTGTTCTTTGGACTCCTTTTTCCTAACCGCTGCTCCAGGCTGCCGTCAGAAAGGCCTAAGGAATTCGGCTAGGCTCGAAATGGCCCACACTAGCCGAGAGCAGCGATAACGTCAGGCGTGCAAGCCATCATTCACGCCGCAACCCTCTTCAGCGGACGGCCAAAAAGGTAGCATCCTGCCCAACCCTCGCCCTAACCCTGCGCCATCTCATCTGCTCGCACACTAAGCTGCACTCCGGATGCCCATGGAAGGTCTCTGTCGTGAACCCACTGAACCCCTTTGTCCCTCCAAACCTTTCGGTCCAAAGCACAACAACGCCATGGCATGCCACACACCGAGTCCATGGCCTTGTCCATGGAATGAAGGCGAGCGAAGTATCTGCCGTTGTACAACGTAAAGATCGTTGGTTCCATCGTGCAGTATCCAAATTGAGAGACGTCATGGATGGGTTCTTCAGGGCCGCCATGTTGGACTTGATCAGTCTGGAGTTCTGCGTGAAGATCTCCTCCTTGTTCGGTTTGCTCAACATATCTTCCCTCAGTTGCTTGGAGAAGGACTTGCTGATCGACTCCAAGATCTTCACCATGAGTCTACTCCTTATCGACATTATGAGGATCTCTCTGGGGCCGCCGATCTGCAATTTCGCAAAGGAGGCAAAACACGAGATCAGCTTCCTTCCTGTCCATGAAGGCAGAGTCCAATATCTTCCACAGGCTCATGTCCTTCATGTACTTGAACATGGCTGAGAAAGAGAAATCCTTCTGGAAGATCTTCTTGGAGTTCTTGAAGAACCTCGCGTCCACTATCTTGTTCTTCTCGACTATCTTCGTCGTGGTCATCACCTCCTCGATGCTGGCCGTGATGCACTTGACCATCTCCGACCTCTTGAATTTCAGACCCTCGTCCAAGAAGATCGTCTTCATGCTGTAGCAGATCGACTCCAAGCTGAAGGAGAAAGCGATCGGCTCGTTGATCATCATCTCGGCCATCTCTTCTACGGTCTGCTACTCATATTCGACCTCCTTCGCCTCGAGGTACTTGATTTCCTCTTCGGCGACCTTCTCGTAGATCTCGAAAGACATCGAGTAGTCCGTGCCGATCCTTGGGGACGCGAGGTGGCTTATGTACCTCTCGTTCAAGCGGAGCTTGACGGGCATCGCTTGCCATTCATCAACGAAGAGAGGGTCAAGGTTTCGAACTCCGACAACCTGGAGAACTTCCTCTTCTTGCTGCTGTCGGTGTCGAACTTCATCTTCACGATGTTCTCCGCGTATTTGCAGATTTGCAGATCTTAGAGCAGATGTAGACTTCGAGCGAGGTCCTCATGACATTGTCGTCTAACAAGTCGAGCGTCGTTTTCTTCCAGGACACCAGGGAGGACAGGGAGTGGGCGATGTACCTGAGCGATGTACCTGATGTTCGTGAGCCTCGTGGAGAGCGACTTCGCGTTGGAGGACGATACCAGCATGCATAAGGAGAGGAAGGTCACCTTCTCGTCCCAATAGCTCGCCTTCTCGTGAGAGAGGAGCAAGCTGGACACGTGCGCCATCTTCTTTTCCAAGGAGCACAAGTTCGAAAGCTCCTTCATGCTGATGGAGATCCACTTGGTCAAGGTGAACTCCTCGGTGGAGTAGGCCAAGAAGTCCTCCTCCTTGAACTTCTGCATCGACTTCTCCGAGAGGAACCTGACCCTTATCATCCCCCTGATCGAGGTCTTCTTCGTCCCTTGGACCTCTACGTAGGCCCCGCAGTCCGGCACCCACAGCAAGATGGACTTCTTGAGGTTCTTCTTCACCAAATCCAATATCTTCGAGATCGATCTCGACATGATCTGTAGGACCCTTTGGGAGAGTGGGACGGAAGCAAAAATGGGTTTTGGAGTGACTTGCCTCAATGCTTTTTGTTGGGACGTGTCCTTAAAGGAGCCTTTATGAAATAAACACTTATGCTTTTTCGTCCCTGGTTTTACCGAAGTACTTAGGACCCTTTGGGGCACATCTCTCAACCCTAACCCTAAACCCTAAACTGTACCCTTTTCGAGAGTAGGAAGCCAAGGTATGCCAGAGCTTCATTTGCGGCCGTCGATCTGAGCCGAAGCTCCATGCCGCTGAGTCACCAATGTGTGACAAGGCCGCTGGGCATCGCAACTGACAGTGGGAGCCTCGCCTCGCCAAGCCTCGGGTTCAGCTGCTACAAACAAACTCCCCACAAATCACACAGCATCCAAAGCCACACGAAAACTCTTCAACTTGACACCCTCCCCCATGTACATCTTGCTGTACGAGAACTTCATCTCTTCGGTCTTGAACTTGTCCCTCTTGTGGACGGAGAACGACTTCTTGGTGTCTTTCGAGAGGAATTTGACGGCCTTCTCCATGTAGTTCACGTGATCGTTCTTTAACCCCACCCCCTTGGTCTTGAGCTCCTTGGACTCTTTGGTTTTTGTAAAGAAGTCGTCGTTCGTCATGTCCCTGATGAAGGTGACGTAGTTGCTCTTGAGCTTGGAGTAACCGAGTCTCCTCAGAGTCACGGACTTCAGCTGAGAGAGGCTCTTGTCGGCGGTGTAAAAGGGGATCTTGATCTTGGGTTTCACCTGCTCCATCGCCCCGATACTGAAGACAGAGCTCTTGTGCGTCTCCAGCGCCTTCAAGATCTCGTCCAAGTTCATCGTGGACTCCTTGTAGAGCCTGGTGGTCTCCTTCTTCTCCATCATCATCTCAGTTGCCACCTTTAATTTCATCTCGTGGTCGATGTCCATGCTGTTCCAGAAGCTCTTCATTTGTTGCAGAACATGTCGAAGGACTCCAGGTGCTTGATGGGCGAGCACAAGAACTCGATGCAGATCTTGGTCCATCCTGCTCAACCTCAAGGAGTCCGACAACTTGTTGAGCTTGTTGCCCTGGTCCTTCAGGTTGTCTTCGATTTTCTTCACCCCCCTGGCGAATTCCATGATCTTCTCGAGGAGAACATGATCGTCCAACATGTCCTCCACGTTGTTGGTCATCAAGATCTTCTTGTCGCTGATACTCAACACGACCACTCCCATCGTGACCTGGAACCCTTTCTTCTCCAACTTGGCGACCATCGGGTTGTAAAACCTTATCTTCTCGGAAAGCCTCGCGCTGGCTGGCTTCTCGGTAACGGTTTTCTCCATGAGCTTGAGGTGGTTGGAGTCAGCGCTGATCAAAAGGTCTGGCGTGCGGAGGGTGTTGACCCTGAACATCTGCTTGATAGGGATGTCGGATTTGGTAAAGTCCAACTTGAAGTGATCCGAGATGAGCCTGCAGAGGGCTGCGTGCCTGGTGTAGATCCACTTCTCCGGCGATTCCTTGACGGCCCTGATCGTCTCCTCCAATTTGCCAAGGTCGTCAGCCGAGATCCCCAGCGTCGAGTTGGTCTCGAACTTCTTGAACAAGGAGTTGTAGATGACCTTCCTCACGGTCCGGAGCCTCGACATGAAGATCATCGTGTCGCTAGACTTCATCTTGGAGGAATGGACAAAGGGGAAGACCTCCTTCCTGAACCTGAAGGTCATGTTGTTCTTCTTCATCTTCTTGACCTCCAAGAAGCTCGGTAAGTAGTCCAAGATCTTCTTCTTCGCCACAGTGAATGTCCCCAGGACTTTGGATTTGAGCTTCAAGTAGTCCTTGAAGTCCAGCTTCTTCTTTACGAAGGACTTGGACGTGACTCTGATCAAATTCTTCTCGCTGAATCCTCTCCTCAAGATGGAGTTCGCGTGGTTCTCGTTCAAGAAGGTCGTCCTGTCAACCACCAACAAGTCCGCCCTCTTCAAGACGTCTATGTCATGTTCAAGACTTGCTCCAAGAAGTTGTCGACCAAATTCTTCCTCAGCTCCTTCTTCCTCCTCGTGAAGACGAACGAGGGTGTGATGACCACGTCCACGTTCCTCGGCAAGTAAGACACCTTCTTCCTCGCTAAAGCGAAGGAGAACTTCAACCCTGTGTTCACCTCCTCGATCAAGTAGTAGTGGAAGAGAGCAAAGGTGTCAGCAAATTCGCGGAGGATATCCATCGGAGAGGGTTTAGGGGTTTAGGGTTTAGGCATTAGGGTTCTTGTTGGCAGAACAAGAGCGAACCGTCACTCTTTTCCTTCCTTGGGCCATGAAAGTGCCTCCGATGCGAACACTCACGAGAGATCGCTGAGAAAGCCTGCACACAACACTCCTATAAAATCTCTCCAGATTTTAAAGTGTTGGCCACAGCCTCCATCATACATCTGCAAGCTTTGCTCACAGTCACCGCCATCGACTTTACAAGGAGTCGAACGAATCATGATAGCGGCGTGTCCATGTAGAGGTAGTCGAGGAGGCCGGGCTCAAAGGCGGACTGGGCAGCATGTTCTTGTCCTTCAGCACGCTCAAGTACTTGGCTAAATCAGCCAGAGCTTCACCGCCGGTCTTGGCGCGGGGAATGCACCACTTGATGTAGGAGGTAGATTCGCGGTCGCGTAGCTCCACGAGGCCCTTGTAGCTCAAGTTCTTGCTCGCGTACTTGCCGAAGGCGATCTTGGTGCGGCCCCATTGGTCGAGGGAGTGCACATCGCGGGGAAGAACATTGCGGTCGACATCAGCACGAGGAGCAGCAGAAGGTCGTGGCTCATTCACCGGACGAGGTGGAGGTGGGCCACGAGGACGATCTGGGCTGGCTGCGGTCACGGAGGCTTCAGACCACGAGGGAGGATCACGAAGCATAGCGGGAGGAGTTCCTGGAGGAGCCGCCGAGGGTCCCGTAGAACGCTGCCGCTTCGAAGAATCGGCCATAGTGCCACCAGCCTTCTTTGCACGACGTGCCTGGAACTGGGCACACACTGTGTCCCACAAGTCCTCGTTGATGTACTTGGCGCGGCGGTCCTTGAAGGTTGCCACGGCCTCGGTCCACACATCATCTCCTTCGCCAAGCAACATTGCCTTGGTGAGGAGGTCGACGCATTGCTTCTTGTCCGTCTCGGAGAAGGCGATGAGCTCGGGGTAGTATCCGGAAGAAGCGGGAGCGCCATCGCTCACCAACACACGCTCCCAGCTGGAAGCACGGGATCCGGAGGCCATCTCGGTCGAAACAGAGATGCGGCAAAGACCGAGAGGTCACAGCACGTCACTACCACAAGCTCTTGGAGAGATACAGTCACGAACTCACATGTTCACAGACAGGTCGTGACAGGAAGAAAGTGTGCATGCAATTGGCAATCGCTCACAGAGTCTGTACACCCAAGCATCGGCACTAGCTAACCTAAGCCCGTTAGCAACCCTATAAGGCAGCGCGGTCCTTGCGCCGCTGTTTCTCATCGGCACGCCAGTCCAACACATGTTGCTCATCACTTATCTGGTACTGGCCCGTCCTGAGGCATGCCCTGAGCAGATCAATCGCTTCGATAGTCTCTTTTGTCAGGCCGTCGGCAATCATTCTATTTGTGGGAATCCACCGAAGGTTTGCATCAACACGGCCTAAGCTTTCGCGGACTATGACGACATCCAGGGCAGTTCTTTTATCATCTAGGGTCGGGGAGGACTTAGAAACTAGATGATCGTACAAGGACTTGCAGTCGGTGAGGGCCATGCTGCAACGCCGGGATGCATACTGCCAACAATTGCGGAGATTGCATGGGCCGTCAAGTGCCTCAGAAAGCAACAAAAGAATCCATTCTAACATGCCAGTGGCGGTTGACATTGCCTGCGCCTCTGCACTAAGAGTGGAGTTAACAACCCTGGGGAGCCTATAACTACGCCAATTGGCCGGGGTCCACTGTTGGACAACACCATCATTCATATCCTTATGCGTGAAGCTCACTACAAAACCTGCTTGCGTGGCTCCGTCACGGCCATTGGCATAAGCTGCGTCGCTGTGGCACATCACAGCTAGCTGTTCAGGCGGCACTGCTCGAAACACTATTGGTAGCTGAGCATTCTGGCGTGCTCGGCGAACAGCGTTATTGGCAGCTACGGCATCTGAAACTAAAGGCTCGGGGAAAGACTGCTGAGAGAAGGACACTTGTGTTGACAGGTCTGGTCTGGACTGCGTCGCAAGCCAGTTCAAACCGCCATTGATGGCGCGAAGACACCGAATTTCATCCGTTGTCAGGGGAGCATCCTTCTGAAGGAGGCGGCTGCGGCTCAGCCGGAGAGGGCGAAGTTTATCGACAAAGCTTTCTTGAGACATGGTGATGTCGAAGCTAACAGGGTCCTGTCGATACCGTGCTCCGCAAAAGTCGCCATCTCCAATTCGCCACTTGCGGAATTCAAACTTCTTTCGGAGTGCTTCGATAGCCTGATTGTACTTATCACCTTCACCACCTGTGGCACTGTCATCAACATGCACGCCGTACACGCCTACCAATCTCCCTTGATCTCGCATGTAATACACACAAGGATCAAACCTGCTACGTTCAAACCCAACCTCTAGGAGAGCCTTGTTGAGTGTTTTCTGCCACGCCGAAGGGGCGTCGTTCAGTCCATAGACATGTCCCAGCACTTCGATAAGTGCATCAGAGGGCACACCGGGGATGCCTCCAGGTGGAAGTCTGGCGTACAAGGGTCTATAGGAAGCGGGGAGCTCGCCTGAAGAGAGAAAGGCACCCTTAATGTCACCCAACCGAAGAAGCCACTTATGGGAGGAGATAAGCTGAAAGAGCACCGAACGTCCCACCTGTGACAACGTGGGAGACTGCAGGTCGCCCGCTACAGCCTTCTTTGCAAGGTCGGGATCTGGAGACACCACCGAGCTTTGATGCGAGCAGGTGCATCATCTTCTTGTTTGACAGTCACTACATATCGGCTACCCATGATGCGATCGGAGAACTTGCGACGCACCTTCTCAGCTTCACGCCCAAGCACAAGACGGGTGGCGTTGCGGCTCAAGATTGTATTCCACTCTACGGTCTTAGCTTCATCTACCTGGGTCTGAAGTTCAAGAGGGTTACCGGTGGCGGGAACCTCCTTGGACTGCCGCTTGTTGAGTGCTTGGGCCATTAGGGTCTCTATGCTTTGGGACGGGTCAGCAACCTGAACTAGAAGGGCTTCTACAGCTAAGTTTTCATCATCACCGGGCTGACCCTCGGGAGCGTTCTCAGTCGCTCTGCGGCTGCTTTCTCTCACTGCGGGCTCAGCAGAAGCCTCGCGTTTCACTCCTCGCGCAGAGGGTGCTTCCGGTACATTAGGAAGCACTTGACTATCAGGCATCGTGGCTTGCATTGTCTGTGACACTAGTTCAGGGATAACCTCTTGCATCAGCTCTGAGAAATCGTCCTGCAACATAGCGCTTGGCCGGTGCAGCTGCTCTGGTGAGGTCTTCCTGGTCACGCGACGTACAGGACCGTAGGCATTGGGACTTGGCGTCTCAGGTGGGTCTTTGGGTTTGAAGGGCTGCGAGCCCCGGCCAACATTCAAGTGATCCCGTGAAGAACCCTGACCCCTATCTACTTCGACCCCGGAACCCGGAACAACAGGTGCCGACGGAACCGACAACGGCCCCTGCGCAGAGCCTGGAGCGGCACTTCCAGCAGATGGTGCTCCAGCCGACAGGGCAGGAGCCTGTGGCATCGCACTGGCCTGCATGGACGCTGGTTGTTCTTGTTCGGCAAGGGGTGGTCTATCTAGGGGAACGAGGTCCATATACTGTCGGCTCGACAAGGCATTAGTGTCTATCAGGTGTTTGAATCCTAGCAGCTCAGCATTAGGGGTAGACACCAGGGCTTGTTCCTCCGAAGTGGCCTTACGGACTTGTTCGGGGGCACATCGAAACACCTGACGCTTATGAACCACAACTAAGTTCTTACCAACCTGCCCTAATACCACGGCTGGACCATACCAGCGGCCTCCTCTCTCAATGGTCCCTTCGTGACTCTTCTGAGTGCGCCAATACGCAACCAAGGACCCAGGTGCATGCTGTTCCAACACCCTTGGCCTGGCTGCCAGGCTCAATCGGAGAGCCTTGTCGTCGAGTCTTGCAGAGCGACCACCGCCTGTCGGGCGGCTTGGCGAATGGCCACACTCCTGGCCACGGCGTCTTCATGCAGGGAGGCTGTGGCAGGTATCACATCTAAGGGCTCGTCGAGCAGATTGCTTGGCACCCTGGGATTACGACCGAAAACGAACTGTGATGGCGTCATGCCATACACTTGAATCAGCTCATTCTTACAATGGGCGCCGACAACACACTCAACCCACGTCGGGCGATCATGTGCCGCGCACTCAGCAATAACCTTCTGAAGAACACGACCAAACCAACCGCCATGGACCTCTACCTTGCCCAATTGCCAATGTGCCTCTGCAGCGGTAGCTGCCACCACTGAGCCCGCTAGCTCCTGTGGTACAGTGAGTGCTTCACTGAGGTTGGTTTGCGCAGGGTCAACGACGATTTCATGGGGCACACCTGCCCACGAGACCCATCTCTCCTGGAAGGCCTGCCGAAGAGTTTCGCCGGTTTCCCGGCCCGGCAACGGCACCATGATCTGGAACGACGACGCATAATCTACAATGTTGAGTGCTGGTATCTTCTGATTGGGAAGCCACCCGGGCAGGTACTTGACATCTAGCCCGACACGCCGGTTAAACTCAGTGACCCGGTGTGTCTGCGCCAACGGTGCTGGAGTTGGCTGCTTCTGCGCTGCACAGAGATCGCACGACAACTCTCGAGCCAAGTCAAGCGCAACTTGTGAGGCGCCACCGTGCTTGAGAACTCGAACCAACACAGGATTGGGAGGATGCCCCAAGTTCGCATGCAGTTTGCGCAAGCTCGCCAACATTTGCTCTCGACGCTGTTCGTTCAGCTCAGCAACTCTGCCGGCCACGAAACACTCGTGATCAGAGCCCACTTGGATCACGCAAGCTCCAAAACGGGGCAGCTCTCGAACAGTTCTCAGCACCGACTTGACAAACTTGTCAGAGGAGATCAATCGGGAACATCCGACAAGCTAGCTGCTGCCACTTAGGCAGACTCCATGCTGAGGAGGTCGCTGTCTCACAAAAGAAAACTCGACCGCCGTGCTCGAGCTGTCGACTGGCAACATCAGCAGCGAAGTTCAGCAAAAGCTTAGAAAGCACAGCCTTCTCTCGCCGGGTACTTTCATCCGAATGCACAGGATCGATATCATACCAGCCGGCTTGCCAGGTGCACGGTGAGCCAAGCACGAGGAGCTCTGGTCTTTGCTCCGTCACAGTTTGCAAAATTAGGTCACGGTCCGCGGCCCGGCGAAAATCCCAGCCGGTGATGCGATCAGCACTAGCACCATTGAGACCCTTAGTGACCGCTTCCAGGGCATACCTAGGAGCACCAAAGACCTCTAGAATGTGCACCTTGTCTGGTTGAACCTTTGCTGTGGAGCCGCTCGCTCCGGTGAGCTCGCCTGGCTGCGGACTTGACCTGTCTCCACTGGTGTGGGGACCACTGTTCGGCCGCCCCATCCTCAGGCTCGGGAGGCTCACTCGATGGCATCGTGGGAGAGATCGGCTCCACCTGGAACACCGTTCGTCCGGTCCACGGACGCTCTTGCAAGCTACGGTGTGCATTCTCTGGAACCCTCCAATCGTCAACGACTTCCCTAGGGTCAACACCGTTGGGAGGATTCACGAATGTGCGTCGGGTTCCCAGCAGCCTGTCAATTTCAACCGGACACCCTTCCGAACACGGCGTAAAGGCATCTGTACGGGGCTTGTGATGAATTCTACTAACACTTAAACCGTCACTAGCTAATTCCCAACAGTCTTCTGGCTCAGCTGGCGTGCCTTGGTGTCCTGGGCTCGCCTGGGACTCGAAGTTCGCCACGGGAATGATATACTGCCCGGCCTCGTTGGTGCTCATGGGGATGGCCTGGTGACCCTCAAAGAGGACCAGCTCGTCGCGGCCAAAGTCCATCCTGGCAGCCAAGGTCTTCAAAGCCGGGCGAGACAGGAGCAATGGCGCTTGTCCGCCGATCACGGCGGCGCGCACCACTCCGCGGCGGCCGCCGAGACACACCGGCATGGTGACGATCCGGTTCGAGACCTGTTGGGCCCCATTCCCGAACCTGAACGTGTTGAGTTCAGGCGTCTCGGCCGGCTGCTCGATACCCGCCGAGCTCCATAGCTTCCGGAAGGCCTGGAGCGTGATCTCTCCGATGACGCTCTTGCCGCACCCTGAGTCCAGCACTGCAAAGCCCGGGCTTGACACCAACAGCAACTCTTGCTCAGGTCCCTGGTCACGTCGGCTTCTCAGTTGCTCCACCATGCTCTGGGGGATCTGCACCGCATGGCACACAAACTCCACATGTTGCACCATGCCCGCTGCCGAGGTAGAGCCTGATCCGGAGGCTCCGGCGGCAGAGGACTTCATTGGGCACTCTCGTGCCCAGTGGCCTGTTCGGCCGCACTTGCGGCATTGGGTCCGGCGCTTCAACTCCTCGATCTCCACCCGGAAAGACCTTCGCAGATCATTAGCCTGTGGAAACTTCCTCGCCCGCTGGAGGCGATTCAACTCCTGCCTGCGATCCTTCCAAGTAGCCGCCAGGACCTCAGCCACCTCGGCTTCGGGGAACACCTCGGTCTCGGCCGGGGCGTCCTCCTTCTTCCCGTGCTCCGCAAGGAACATCTCCACGTCGTAGAAGGGAACTTCGCCACCTTCGCGTGTCGTGACCTCGTTGGTCACGTAGTCTTCGTAGTCGCCGCTCCACCATGAGTCGTCCTCCGCCTCGACGTAGTGGGCCGCAGCGACTCCGCGCTTGCGGGGCACGATGTACTCCGGGAAACACGAGCGCATCGCCTGGGTGAGGGATCATGCTTGAGGTCCCCACTGGTCCTAGCAAGGACCACCGCCCTCTGCTCCTCGTTCATGCCGCTGTGATTCAAGACTATCCAGCCCTTCGCCTCCTCCGGGAAGGACACTCCAGTCTTCCTGCTGCAGCGATCAAAGCATTCGCGAGCTCGGGCACACCAGGTTCGAAGTAGCTCGCCCTCACGAGCCCGGAGCGTGAAAACCTCCGTGAGGTTCTCACCCATCTCATCCGTCCGATCCCTCTCGGGCCAGCGCTTGTCGAGAATCTCAAAGATCACCTTCTCGCCGCCCTCCTTCTGGTACTCGGACTCCTTGAGATGTTCAACCATCTCCAGAGCCTTGCCCTGGAGCAAGGTCCAGACGTAGCTGCCCCTCGCTTCCTTCGGCAGCTTATCCATCACCAGAAACTTGTTCATGCACCACAGTTTCCAGCGGCGGTATTCCCGCCAATCAACACTATCCGCTCCGTCAAAATAACGGAGGCCATGGCTTTGATCCCCCATCGGGAGCCTTGCTTCCAACCTAGGAAGCGAGAGCCTAATCGGCTCCGCTGCCAATCTTGTTGGCAGAACAAGAGCGAACCGTCACTCTTTTCCTTCCTTGGGCCATGAAAGTGCCTCCGATGCGAACACTCACGAGAGATCGCTGAGAAAGCCTGCACACAACAGGGTTTAGGGATTAGGGTCCTATAAGGGTTACTATAAGGGATACTATCAGGGTCCCAGGCCCTACTCAAGGAATCTATAGAGGATACCTTTAAAAGGGTCCTTTTTAGGGTTATTATAAGGGATACTCTAGGATTCCTGCAAGAGGGTCCTATAAGGGTTACTAAACGGGATACTATCGGGGTCTCAGACCCTTGCTTTAAAGGATTCTTTTAAAAAGGTCCTAGAAGGGCCGCCCTAAGGGTCCAAAGGACCCAATAATTCGGTTCCACTTCTTCGTCCTCCTCCTCCGCCTCTTCCTGTCAACAGGAATGCAAAAGCACAGAGCAAACTACTGACATCCCTGCCTCCTCCCGTCGGCGAGAGGCTCAAGGGTGGGATTAAGGGTATGAACAAGGCCCGGGCCAAGGCGTCGGAACTGAGCTCGCTCAGCTGCCGAAGCCGCTGCTGCCGAGGCAGGGCAATGAACTGCTCGAGCACAGACATCTGCGGCGGCGAATGCTGAAAGAGGCAGCGGTGGCATGCCCGGCACCGGGAAGACGCACCTGGCGCGCCCATCGTGACGCAGCTCTGCGAGCTCGGGGAGGTCGTCAAGCTCGTCTCCAGACCCACTGCTCCGTGCTCGGTTTTAGGATAGTAGTTATCTAGGTCAGGATTTGGGAGAGTATATGATTAGTAGGTGCTTGGACCCTTAGGGTTACTGTAAGGGATACTATCAGGGTCGCACCCTACTTAGGGGATCTGTAGAGAATACTATAGGGTTCCTTTAAGGTTCCTCTGAATACGTAGCCAGAAGTCAATATAGCAGGTCTCACGTCACCGACTTTGGCCTAGCAGAAGGCCGGTGCTGTTGCTTCAATTTAACTACTCATGGAGTCTTGCATTTTCGGGGATGCGGAAATATGCAATTCTCATCGCAGCTTGCCTTGCTGTCGCGGGGGCTGATGCGAACGCGATCCTGACCAAGGGATTAGCTGATTAGCTTCTAGCGGGCTACTGTTCCTTAGACCTATAGAAACTTCAGAAACCATCTAGTATCCATGATCTAGCCTCCTACCAAATAATTACACAAATACCACAAGTAGACAGACACATAAACACCCACATGAGCGCTTTATAAACATGAACGTATAAGCAAGAATATAAATACTAACAGCGAATACAGGAACTAACTATCTAGCAAGCTACCAAACTGACTAACTAACTAACTAACTAATTAACTAACTAACTAACTAACTAACTAACTAACTCAGTCTCTCACTGAATCGCCAACCAACCAGCCAACCGGCCAGCCAGCCAAGAAACCAACCAGCAAACGAAGTATGTAGCCACGAACTAACTAACTGACTGGCTGACTGCCTGACTGGCTAGCTGGCTGACTAACTAATTGCCTGAATGACTAGCTATCTAACCAGCGAACTACCTAACTAAATCGACTTTCTCGCAAAACATCCTGGTTATGTCACCAACTGACTCACCGACTACTATCCAACTAACCAATCATTCCACCAATTAGAAAGCTAGCTCGCAGACAAATTAACTCACTGACCAACCGCCTCAATAAATGAATGTACACACAGCATGTGAAAGCGTATGTGTCTATGGAAGTGTGTATATATGTATGTATGTGACTATGCTGTTATACTGCGTACAAGTTTAGAAGCATGTCCGTCTCTGCGAATGGGTGCATATTATGTCAGTGTTATCATGAACCGTCTTCTTCCTAGCATGGTTGCTAGTAGTATCGTAAATTAACCTCTTCCTCCTGCTTCTGTTGTTGTGAATGAACGCCTGGCAAACCCGGAAAACACTAAACCCTAAACCCTAAGCTGCAAACCAACATCTCCAAACCCTGAGCCCCTGTAGGACCCTAGAACCTCGTTCTACAAGCACGTTGTAGAACTCTACTATAGGGGCCCTAACAATTAGCATAGGGTTCTGGGGCCCATTCTGCTATAACTAAAATAAGGAATCCCCGAAATAGTGTTGGTAATTATTGTATAAGGCCGCTACGTTATGATTCAAGCTTTAGCCACAATTGGCTCTCGTCTTCCCTGGCCTTTGAGTCGTCTCTTCTTCCCACCTCGCGGCAAGGATGCAGTCTGGCGGGCTTCGAGAGGGGATTTGGGTCTATATAAGGGTGACTATAAGCGTTCTATAATGGAGTGCCATAAGGGTTCGGGTTCTTTATTAATTAGATTCTACGAGTTATACTATAGTTATAAAACGGAACCTCCAAAAATATTAGTTTTGGGTATACTTATTTAGGCACCTATAGTATACTGCCTACTGCCTAACTGCTTACTTGAGAGGGTTTTGGAATCTGTGTCTCTTTGACAGCTAAGGCCGGAGCTGGCGGCACAGGAGGACAAGGAGGCGGAGGCGGAGGCATCTCCCCTTAGTAGGACCAGGGAGAAAGGGAGGGACCCTTAACAAGGACCCCTAGCTATACAACCTTACTATAGCCGTTATATACCAGTACCGCTTATACATTCGGTTCTAGGGTGGGGATCCCTATTAAGGGTCCCTCCTTTTCCCCTAGTAGCTGCGACTTTTTGCGCATTGCGCAAGCATACACTATGATGCACTCGTGCCTTGTGGTGTTTGAGAAACACTTCGAGGCCGTTAGTACACATCGGGATGTTTCCTTGGGAGCAGACAGATTCGGAATGTTGCGCACGATTTCGCTACTCACAAAAAGGTCGTCCCTAGCCCTAGCTTTCGTAATACCCACAAGCACACGATACATCTCCAAACCTAAGACACATCCCAATCCAAAAACGTTGCTTTCCGGACCTCCAAACACCTCTGCGAACTCTACCACTCCTTGCACAACACTCGTAGAGCCCGCATGATGCCCTGGTAAAACCCTTAGTAAAATTCGGAGCCCCCAAATTTGTATAGGTAAGTATATCGACCCCTAAAATAGGCGCCGATTGCCGTGGCCAAGCTCCCTGCTGTCATCTTCGATGCCGGATGGATCCCTTTTGGCTGTTGCTTGGTGGTACTTAAAGGATCATGGGACATGGTAACTAGAGTTATTACTTATAACCCCAATTAAGGTACATATAACCTTACTCACTACTTGGAGGGTCGGGGGACTTAGTAAGCAGGTAGTAAGTAGACTTATAAGTACCCCAAAAAAGGGGCCCTAATTGGGTTTATGGTACTTATAAGTCCCTAAAATAACCAGTTACTAAGTCCCCCGACCCTGCAAGCAACCCCCATGATCCTTTAATAGGGGTTAGGGCTTCAGGTCTTGGGCTCGGGATTTAGGTCTTCGGGGCTTGGAATTGAAGGTTTAAGATCCCTTTTAGGTTTTAGGGTGGAGGGTTTAAGGTTTCCTCTAAGGTTTAGGGTTTAAGGGCTGAAGGGTTTAGGGTTACGGGTTGTTGGCGCGTGGCGGGCGGTCTTTCTTGCTTCTGTTTATGTACGGGCAGGTGCTTCAATGTCGGCTTCCGAACCCTAAACCCCAAACCCTAAGCCCTAAACCCTAAACCGAGGGCACGTGCTGAGTCTAAGACTGTCGGAGGTGTTGGTATAGAGGTCTATCCGGTTTACCTGTAGTCTCCATTGTAGTTCCTTTTTTTTGGTTGACCAAAAATCTCTGTTGTAGGATCCTAACCATAAAACTGGCTAACCAAAAAAAGGAACTACAACGGAGACAATAGGTAGGGCTTGAACTTTAGAGCATCGGGTTTGGAGGGTCGCCGACAATGGCTAGGACCAAGATTCAGGGCTTGGAAATCACAAAACTTGGTTGAGGTAATAGGGGCCTTTATAAATAGAATAGGGTTTTGGGGTATATGATACTATAATCATCCCCTAAACCATAAAAGAGAAGCCCCAGAAATATTTTCAAGGCCCCTATATTAGGCTACGCTGTGCCGCACCCTCAGAGGCGAAACGGCACGACGCTGAAATGTTGGCTTAGCCCAAACCTTCCAGGAATATACCCTAAATTAAAGTAGGATCCCTGATCTGATTTACGGTATATTCCTGAAATTAAGGGATTTGGAAGGTCTGGGAGGTTCCCTGGCCCTTACTCAAACACCCGGACTATCACCCTATAAACCCTCATCCCCTATGAACCTCAACATTACACACCCATAGAGGTACCCACAAGGAACCCCTAAAGGAACCCCCTGAGCTCAGAAGGCTGGACAGAGCCACCGCAACGCTCGAAACCCAAAAGCACTCCCCCAAAGGTCCTGTTTACTGATATGGGAGCTACTTCCCCAAATCATAATAGTAATTTCTGATATAGAAACCCTACTTCTGCCATATTGGTACTTTGGACCCTTTGGGTCCCACTCCCACCCCCCTGCCTGAGACACTGCTGAAGCAAGGCGATGGTTTGTTGCAGAGCCTCCACCAGAGGTTGAGGTTGCTATGAGGGGTTGGTTGAGGATTTACTTATTTCAGGTTTACGGCTTAGGTGTTACTGTAAGGGTTTAGAATTTAGGAGGTGCTATCTGGGGTTCAGGATGTTGGTGTGGTCGAACATCAGCACATTTTACTAGCCAGCATACCCCCATGGGTCCCGTGGCTGCCTCTCCCTCTCTCTCTGTCTCTCTCTGTCTGTCTCTCTCTCTCTCTCTCTCTCTCTCTCTCTCTCTCTCTCTCTCTCTCTCTCTCTCTCTCTCTCTCTCTCTCTCTCTCTCTCTCTCTCTCTCTCTCTCTCTCTCTCTCTCTCTCTCTCTCTCTCTATATATATATATGCATGCGCAAATATGCACTTAGTCCGTCATGAGGTTCCTAAGTGGGTTCTGTCTGTCAAAGTATGCACTTTAGGGCAGGATATGGCATGGGTATCCGTTCAGGTACTTTCCAATGCA